AGCTAACCCTTATGTTGGTCCTGAAACGGCAATGAAGAGGAATGCTAAACGGCAGAAGTAACAAAGGACAAGAATTCAGTTTACAAACAATTCCCCATGAGTTGGGAACAAACAAGGCTTAGAGACTTGAAGTGAAGAGAAAACAAAGGAGAAGGCAGAAGCCATGTCAGGCTGGCCTTGCACCTTGTCAAGCACCCAGACTTCAGCCAATGGGTGACGGGGAATCCCCGAAGCACCTGTTCTCAGCAGACACTGGCTAAAGGAGCCAAGGCTTTCCTCAGGATTCCCAAGCCTCAGGATTCTCCCAGGCTGGAGAAATGAAATGAATGGAAACTCTCCATGACTGCAGACTAGGGAAAATCCCAATCTTCCAGGTCCTCTTGGTAACCATGCAAAGTTGGATGACTATTTAGATGACCTTGGAAGCACGGAATGGGAACCAACAGAGCCATCTCTGTTCCCATCTGCAGGAGTCCCCTCAACACACCTTGAGCCACAGCCACCACAGGGCACTATTCAACGTCCTGTCTTTCTCTCAGAATCTCTTGATTCAGTTTGTCTAACCAGCTGCCATTTACTACTGTTTCCAGATTCTTCTCTGGTCTCTCCTCAGGATCCCAACGTGCTCCGACCACGCACAGGGCAGCGAGCACAGCAGCATCTCTGTGTACAGCATGGTATTTTGGCACCAACCTCTCCAAGAGCAGAAGACATGGAGCATTTAGAGAAAACATCTGATCCTTGTTTCTTTAAGTTGTCCTCACAGGCAGCGTTTATTCCTCCTTGCTCTTTATCACACTTATTTGTGTGGTGACTTGAGTAATATCAGCATTTCCCCACCTCACAGAGTAAAACTTTTTTTTCTTTTTTTTCTTTTTTTTTTTTTTTTTACGGTTGCTGCTGTTGCAGGGTTTTCTCTTCTTTGAGATTTCCTATACCATATTCACTGTGCCAGGGCATCGCAGCACAGAGGACTAACTGCTGGGGAAGGATTACTCGTGCCAAGTGTTGGGTGAAGAAGCAGGGTGGAAGGAGGCACAATATGTTAAATGTCACGGCATAAACAAAAGCAACATTCTGCAGAAGTCCTATGGGCATTCTTCCAACTTCCTCTGCACAGGAAAGGGATCACGGAGGAAGGAGCATCTAAAAACATTCCTCAACAATGCCTCCACCAGGCAGCAAAACTGAAGAAGGACGTGGGCATCAAAATAACCAATGGAATCCTTGTATGGGTGATTACTCATGATATTAAATTAATAAACAGTATACAAACAGTGTGTCCACTCCCACACGGTCTCCCCAGGAAAAAAAACCTGAAAGGAAATAGCTTAAATGTTAGCAGTTATTGCCAGGATGTGACATTATCTGGTGGTTTTTTATTTTCTTCTTTGTACTTCTTTGCAGCTTCCATTTTTTTTTTTTAATAATAAAAATCCTCATCATAGGGCCCGGCACAATGGCCTAGCGGCTAAAGTCCTGGCCTTGAACGCCCTGGGATCCCATACGGGCACCGGTTCTAATCCTGGCAGCTCCACTTCCCATCCAGCCCCCTGCTTGTGGCCTGGGAAAGCAGTCGAGGACGGCCCAAAGCCTTGGGACACTGCACCTGTGTGGGAGACCCAGAAGAGGCTCCTGGCTCCAGATTGGCACAGCACCAGCCGTTGCGCTCACTTGGGGAGTGAACTATCGGACCGAAGATCTTTCTGTCTCTCCTCTCTGTATATCTGACTTTGTAATAAAAATAAATAAATCTTTAAAAAAAACTCATCATCATCATTAAGAGAAATAATTTATTTTAAATCACTTAAGATTAAACTGCAGTACAGCAGGTTTCTGGATTGTTCTTTCTCCACCACCATTACACGAACATTTTATAGCAGAAGATAGGCTAAATAAGAAAACTAACCCAAAACTGGCACTGCAGTGAGTTACACTGCTGCCTATAATGCCACCAGCCTAAATGCGTGCCAGTTCAAGTTCCAGTGGCTACACTTCTGAACCAGCTCCCTACTAATGTGTCTGGAAAGGCAGCATTAGCCAGTCCAAGTCCTTGGGCCCCCGCCACCCCCGTGGGAGACCTGACTCAAGTTCTAAGTTACTGGCACATGGAGTGAACCAACAGATGGAAAAATCTCTCAGATATCTCTCTCTCTCTCTCTCTCTCTCTCTCATTCACTCACTCTGCCTTTCAAATAAATCTTGGGGGTAAAAAAGGACTACATTTCCTCTCTAATCCTCTAGCACTAACAGGAAAGAACTTTCATTTACAGGCAATTCTAGAAACCTAGCAGCAAGCACCAGCCCGTAAACTTCAGTTGTTTTCCACGTTCTTACCTGGGCCTTTCAGGGATGAATGGCAAGAATCAAACCCAGCTAACAGCTTTAAAAGGGAGAAAGATATCTGACAATGCCTCACTAAACATAAGAAACACTTGAAAACAATCATTAGTCCACTAGCAAACAAGCAAAGTGTGCTCCAAAATACAGTCCAGCACACCAAACACAAGCAGAAGGACATTCCTGAACATGACACTTATCCCCAGCAATCCAGCCTACATCTGAAACGGCAGTTTAAAGTACCCCTCTATGCAGAAAATGACTTAGAATGCAAGAAAACTGATGGGAAAATGACCACTTTAGCAGATGGCAAATTTTCTACAAATGGTACTACCACTAACTTCAACAATAAAAGTCCAAAAGTAAAATGTTTTCTGGGCAATGATCATCAATCATGTCTCTTTCTTATTCAATACACAGCAAAAGGGAAGCACATGAATGGGGAAGAAACACACAGGACTGAGCAGGAAAGCGACACCTCAAACACATTCCTGGACCAGGCTGTCTCGTCCCTGCTACAGGGCCTCTGCTCCGCCTCTGGTGCACCCATCGCTTCTAGGTCTCATCTTTCACTCAGGACTTCCTGTAGAGGAGCCAGCCCTATTTCACCACGTCCCAAACAAATCACCCTGCTGAAAACTTGGCAGATTCGCTAGAAATCCACATAAAGAAACAAAAAAGGTGATAAAAAGGAAACATGCCACACTAGTAACTACGAAATCTTGGAAATCTCTTCAGCAAGAAACTAGAATTCTAGCTGCAATGGAAGTAGCGTTAGACTCTGATTTCAAAGGAATGGGTGTGGGCAGCTTCCTGGCCAATAGCGCCACGGGAGGCTCTCAATCTCTACTGTCTCTGGAGTCCCCGTTCACATGGTCAGGAGAGCTCAGGGGCTCCATCCACAGAGACTCCAGGTTACCCCATTATGAGAGCAGGGCAAGTATGCCTTTGCCGGCCACCAATGAGCCCCTGAAGTCTGCAATCTGGCACAGAAAGGGTAAGCTTAAATTCTCTTAAGATTGAACTTATGTGAATTCATAGTATTCCTCGGGCTATGAGAAGGGAAGCTGAAGTGTGTGCAGAAGATATTCACTCTCAAATCCTTGGTGTGTACAGTAGATACACACTGCCAACTTCCTAGGAACAAGCTCCCGAATATCAAGAATGATTAGCATTATCTCCTTTGCTTGCAGCTTGTGTCAGTGAACATATGGTCAGTTATTCTTTTATGACAAAGACCTTTATGGAAAGAGATAGAGAGGTACAACTAAGTAACTTTCACAGTTCATTTCTGAATTAAAAACAGACTTTCCTTTGGGGGGCTGTTGTTGTGGTTCAGCAAGTTAAGATACCACCTGTAACGTCAAATGAATGCCAGTTTGCGTCCTGGCTGCGCTACACCCAAACCAGCTCCCCACTAATGAACATCCGATGCCCTGCCATCCATGTGCGAGACCTAGATGAAGCTCTTGGCTCCCAACTCGTCCTGCTCCAACCATGACAAACATTTAGGGAATGAAGATTTTCATGTTCTCTCTTTCCCTCTTTCCTGTAACTCTGAATTTCAAAAAGTAAATATATCTTTAAAAAAAAAAACTTACCTTTAGCTTACTATTTTTAAATGGCTCTATAGTAACATCATTTACTCAGCCTTTGAATAACTCTCCATATATAACAACCAACCAGTGTTCATAGAATTGACAAGCACACCTACTGCCCATCGATGAGGAACCACACCACAGTGAGAACATAGTACCAGAACACAAGTCCAGAGACAGTGCTTGCTTTCTGGTTAACCCACACACACTCACACAGGCTAAGCCTCAGCTTTGCAGGAAGGCGTGACCCATCTAAGCCAATGCTGTGAAGCTAAGGTGTAAATGAGACAACACATTTTAAAACACTGTTCAACTAAAAAGGCCACTCATTCAGCTGCTGTTCTCATTAGGAACTGCCAGGACACTCCAAAACAAGTCAACAGCGTTCCTTTGCTTCTTCCTCTTACAAGCTTCACCATTTTCTTCTTCCCTTCCTCTTCCTCTCTGCCTTTCCTGTGGTTTTTTCCTTCCTTCAATTAACAAACTATTTTCTATACTTCTACCATACACCACTTACAGGCTCATACTGTCAGAGTGGGCAACACTGATTTGTGGTTATTAACCTTATAAAACAAAACTGGTCCAAATTGAGATGCGCTGAGGGCATTAAATATATTTTGAAATCTGAAGATTCATGTAAACACAGGAATGTCAAATATCTGTAAATTTTCTATATTGATTACATGTTGAGATAGTAACATTTGAATATAAGAGCATTTGATTAAATAAAACATTTTCTAAATGTTTATTTTTTTACTTTCATCCACATGAAAGCCTGAATGCAAAACAAAGATCTTTCATCTGCTGATTCAGTCTCCAACTATCTATAATACTCAAGGTTGGGTCAGGCTGAAGCCGGGGCCCAGAACTCCACCCATGCCTCCCACTTCAGTGTCAGGGGACCAAGCACTAGAGTCATCCCCGGCTGCAGCACAGGCTGCGCACATGAGCAGGAAGCTGGATCGGAAGCAGCACTTTGGAATGTGATGAAGGAGCCCTAAGTGGCAGCTTACAATGACTACCCCTAAATATACTTGTCATATTAATCCCATCTCTTTTTACCTTAATACAGCAACCAGGAAACTACATACAGGTTCACACGCCTCTTCTGTTGGATAGTGTGATTGTACATCCTAGAGAGCAAGACAAAGGCAAGTGATATTACAAAAATCCAACCGCCCTTGGAAGAACAAAAAGGTTCCCCAGTCCTGCAAGTGAAGTCATTCACACTACCAAGACAGGACATAATCACAGCCAGTCAGATTGTAGGCTCCAACCTTGCCCAAGCTGTACAAGATTAACTCTGCCCAACAAACACCAGGGATAATTTTAACCCCAATTTCTGAGGGAGCAAGGTTTTAATTTGGGCCACCAGTAGTTGCAAGGCACATTTTTCTTTTAAGTACTTTGGACTGTGCCTCAAAAGCAGTTACATTTTGAACTGTGGGAAGCTGTGTCTTCAAGAAAGGCTTCCCCCACAGACAATATAAGGCGCTCCTTTGTGGTAAGAGTCCTTAATAGCGCTCCTCTAGGTAAGCAGGATTAGGCCTGCCTCTCCTGGATACCCTTAATCCCCCCATCAGAATCAGAGCACTTCTAGATAAAGAGCAGAAGCTGAGCGGAACATCAGGGCATAGTCCACCACGGTGATGCTCTGAAGGAGACCGACAGGAATCCAGTCATACTGACTTCAAAAGACATCCCACTTAAATAGGAGGCCACTTGCCATTTTAAGACTTTCAAGTTTTTCTGCAAGATATGTTAACTTTGGGCCACATGGGGCCATGCTTCCACAGCAGTTTGCCACCATATAGGCATCATGAGTGCTCAACCTCATATTCTAGGTGTGAGAAACGCACTGCAAATTCAAATTCAAATCACAACTGTCAAACGTTTAGTTTCTGCCTAACTTAAAAAATAAAATGAAAAACATGGATTAGGAGGCATATCCTAGGGCCGTAAAATGTTCTCCTGGAATAGCAGGAAAGCCTGGAGGCTCGGGTTTCAAGGGAACAGATCCTGTCCATCGCTCCTGCGCACTCGGCTGGGTGTGCCCCGAGGCCTTTCTGCCAATTCAAGTGTCACAACTCTGTTGAGGTTAAATCCAAAAGCCCCGACCTTGCACAAATCCAGAATAATCTCCTTCCTTCATCGTCACAGGAACCCTAATGATCCAGAGTATTACACCGTAAATCACTATCTCAGACAGAAAGCAAAACCTCAGCCTGATCCAGTCTGAGAATTCTACACCCTGCCTTGTAATCCATCGAAATGTATTGGATCTTTATTCAGCAACACTGACATGTCTAACACTAGCAATAGAAAGAGGATATAACTGGCAAAGGGCAGTGGGCATCACCAAGGAGTCTCCTCTTCCTGGAAAGGTAATCGAAGAGTAAAGAAATGAAGAACAATTACCAGTGTCCTCCGAAAAGAGAGAAAGGAACTTCCAAAGCAACGAAGTCGGGGACAGGCAGAGGAATGAGAGATTATTTCAAACTCTCCTAAAGAACTAGTAAGAAAGGATATCTTCCAGTGTGTTCAGTGAATCAAAGCCCCACACAAATACACCTTCTCCCAGCCTTGCTACATTTCCTGGAGTCCAACATTTCCTGGGTGTTCCTCAACTTCATGTTGCAGTAGTCCCTAATTCTTTGTGTTATAATATCAGTAATAAGAAATAATTATACATAGCACTTAAACAATTAATACAAGATAATGGATCGAAAATACTATGTTATTATGAAACAGTTTTTTCTCCTAGCTACTTGGAAACTAAGCAAATCTGAACTTTCTGCTCCCCACACGAGCCCAGGCCTCCATCCCAAAACCCTTCACGGATCCCAACTCAATCTGCAAGACCTATTTCAGCATCACTTCCACGTGATCCCTCATCCTCATTCATCTCCCTCCTTTAAAATGCAGGAGCACCTCTTGGAATACTTGTCACTTTATCATCATCATGTCAATGTCCATTTTCTTCAGAAAGCTAGAGTTTTCAATTTTAATTTACTTTTTTATTTGAAAAGTTTAGACACAGAGACATAAATCTGCCATCTGCTGGTTCACGTACTAAAAGCCTGCAAGAGCCTTGGACTGAGCCAGGAAGAAATCCGGACCTTGGAGCTCAATCCAGAGCTCCCCACACAGATGGTGGGCACCAACCTGCCAACCCACAGAGCCATCCGTCACCTGCTGCCTCCCTGTGGCACGTTAGTGAGAAGCTGTACCAGAAGCAGAGGAGCTGGGACTCGGCCAGCTGCTGTGTTCTTCACGGATGGGCACTCAGTAGTTGCTATTCAATGAGTGCACCCTTTAATTAAATCAGTAACAGGCTAGAGCTTCTCACATTGGTGTAACATCCATAAAGTGATATTTTTTCTCTTAACCAAAAACCCTTACCCAGAGAGAAAACATGAGAGCAATCTCATACAGCTCTCTATCTTTCGTGACTCCTAATAAGGGAGGGGAACAAAATGGGTGTTCCTAAGGCTACTGATAACTCCAAAACTGGATCACCTTTATATAACTGCTGTGCAAACATCTCTCACTTTTCTTAAACACAATCTAAGCTTAAGCATGTTCAGGCTATTGATCTTTTCTGTTATATATTTACAAAAGGGGGACAATGTTTCCACACAACAGCTTAAGCCAATGCCTCCCAGGCCAGTACCCCTTACAGGAGCAGCTTTAGTCCTTGTTGCTCCAACTTTTGATCCAGCTTCTTGCTCATGTACCCGAGATAGTCTTAGTCCAATGGAGTGCTAGTCTCCAGATAAACTGAGCCCACATACTGAAGGCACATGACATCTCAAGATACAAGTATGCATGGATTTCAAAACTGTTTCATAAAGAAAAAATTCCTCTTAATTCCATTTTCACAAACTTTTAAAAATACTTTTATAACTTCTTTACTGATAACACAGGCACTTCAGAAGAGTCTAAAAGCATCTGCACACTTGAGCTTGAGCATGAACCACTTACAGGTCTCTAAGTTCCTAAACACGCCTATGTAACAGCACTTAGACAGCTGTCTAGTCAACTTTCATGCAGGACTGAATCTGGACTATCATACAAGGCACAGGATAAATGTTACACCATGAGTACTCAAATGAATTATTTAAAATGGCCATTTCAATTTACAAAGACTCAATATAGCAATATACTCAATATACCACCTTTACACAAAATAGCTGGGGAAACAAGATGGCAGAATAGAGGAAGGAAACATTTAAACAGACGGAAAATCATTAGCCAGCATGAAGCAGAGAGGGAGCAATCCCTGGAAATACGAGAGGACATGGCAATGGCAGATGAGCACCTGGAGCTCCGTGGCCATGGGGAGGCAGCAACAACAGTGAAGCAGTGTTGCAGTGACCAGATAGCCCAGCAGTGGTCGGGCATCAGCGATCAGAGCTCCTCCACTGGCCAGGTGGGAAGGGGAGTTTGCCAGAAACTCAGGAGGTGAACACAGGCACAGAACTGGCCATGCTGATTTGCTTGATTTAACTATGAGCAAAGCAGACCACCAGAGCCCAAACAGGCAGGTGCAGGAACAAGGTGGATTTCATGGCCCATGGCCACCAGTGCCACATTGGGCACCATTTTGTGTACTGAGGAAAGGGCTGAGAGGCTGGAGGCACATCAGCCAGCTGCACATGCGTTTAGCCAGGAGGAGTGAACTCATTTCCAGCTCAATGGCATCCTATACATGCCATCCAGGATAGGTTCATGTGGCCCCCACACCTAACAAACAGCAGACACAAACTTCCACATCGCTCAACATTTTATGTACTGCGTAACATCACAGAGGGTGGAGGAACAACAGTAAGCTCCACACGCACTAAGCTGAGAGAGAACCCACTTCTGGCTCAACACACTGTATTGGCCCCAAAGGAAGACAGTATCAACTTGGTATCCTGCAGGTCCAGTAGCTTTCAGGCCTAATGGCCAGCAGACCCAGACCCCCACCAGAGCCACATCAGGCACCATTCTGCATACTGAGAAAAAGCCTGTGGGGCTGAAAGACTACAGTAAGATGCACAGGTGCTGAGCCAGGAGAGAACTGACTTCCAGCTCAACACACTGCACTGGTCTCACAGGGAAAATAGTATCAACTTGGCATCCTCCGGGTTCCACCCAAAGTCTGTCTGGGTGCCTTCAGATCTACTGACCAGCAGGTTTTAGCAAAACCACCAATGCTGACAACCAGTGGTTTAGGACAGCTGGCATTACAGAAAGAATACAAGATTTCAAATGGGTTAAACATACATTTTCTATTTACTTTGTATACAAAAGCTAATACAGGATTGGTGTTCATTATCCTAAATATTTAGGTGAGCAGAAAGGGTGTTAATCAAAAGGCTTACTGTGAATAAACTTATAACATCCACTCACAATGAAAAGAGGAGACGCTTACCTCTATTGTGACAAGAGAACGACAGAAAAGAAAAATAGGAGATAGAGAGGATACAGATATACTAAAAAAATTCACAAAGACAGAAATGCAACGTGCAACCGCAAACTGGAAACTGGAAACTGTTAAAGCCTAACTGGGAACTGTGGAGAGGAGGTCACCAGGAGGGAGCCAAGAGGAAGGACACAGAGCTTCTCAGCAAGTGGGGCAGAGTGCTCCCACCGGAACCGGGGTCAAGAACAGCCAAGAGGTCAGAGGTCGGAGGTCGGAGGCCAGACAGGAGCTTGGGGAGCTTCTCAAACAGTAAGACAGAATGTTACGTACTAAAAGTAACCTGTTATCCTTCTAAAAGGGGCAGATCCTAAAGGAAGCACAACCATTGTGACTGATACAAACTCAAAATACATGAAGCAAAACCAGACACAGCTAAGGGACAATGACACTGTTAACACTGGACTTCAACATTTTGCCTCAGCAAATGACTCGATGAAACAAAAACACACTAATTAGTAAAGAGCTTGAATATTTAAACATTATCAACTACTTTAACCTAACTCTATTCCAAGAATACGTATTTCTTCCAGATATATTTAATGCATTTACCGTAACAGTCTACTTGGTGTGCTATACACAACATTCAACAAATTTTAAAAGACTGAAATCCCACAAAGTATATCCTCTGATCATAACAGACTCAAGTTAGAAATCAGTAGCCAC